AAGAGCAATCAGCTTGTTCAGATGTCACAGGGAACATTTATCTTTCAGTGAATCAAGCCTCAGTGTCTGCAGATCGCTGGTCTTATTGCAGGCTCATCTGGGAATCACAGCCCTTCACATTCTCACCTCCCCTGTTGGCACAGACATCCAGAAAAAAATCATGAGCTGTGCACACTGTGCTCCTCATCTGCTTTAGAGACTTACTTGGTTACTTTATTAATTAGGGATGATGTTTAAGTCCTATCAAAGTTTTTCTATTAATATCACTTAGCCATGGTTAACAGAAATCAGATAATTGGACTTCCAAACATGCAGAAAAGCTGACAGCTCACAGGACACAGGAATTAACAAAGATGTTGGCTGGGCAGAGATAAAATTTCCACTTGTCTCAAGTGGTTCTGAGGGCCTAAAACCCTTTTACAAATCACAGTCATGCTGTCTCATGCTCAAACTGGGGTGCTCAATGTCTTGTTGAATCTACTGATTCTACATCACTAATGCAGTATGATCGTTGCCCAGGCACAGTCATTGATGTACATTTAGAGCTAAAAAGAATAAACTTTCTCCACTTTAACCTAGAAGATTAAGGTAATATAACATTCCATTAGAACATTTTGTGTGTGTGTGTGTGTGTGTGTGTGTCCGTCCCCGGGAGCTACCACACTGACTTGGGTCTCACTGACTGTCTGTACACACCAGCTAGTTGACTACTGCTTCACTTAGAGACCATGATCATAAAAATCTCCCTATGCTTCTGCACCCACATCTCTCTCCTGTGTATTGGATGAAGTCGCTTCCTGGTGGCAAAGCTGCCATCCAGTAAAGATGAGTAATTCTGGTGCCTTCTGCCATATTCCCTGCTTGCAGCAAACAGTAAGTAAGTGTGGCAAGTCCAGTTATATAGCAGTAATAATAGCTATAATGTTTTTATATGGACGATTAGGCTTTTTTTCTGCTGTCTGGCAATAAATCTGTATGGAGAAGTTATATTACAGCTTTCTGCAGAATCAGGAAGGTTTTCTATTTTCTGCAAAGCCATTTTTATACAAGCTTGGGTTAAGGATGGAAAAACAAACAACCTGGTCGTTACTGGGAGGTATGGGAGGGAAACACGGTTCCCAAGATTGTAGAAAAGGAGGCTGCTGTGAAAAGCCATCTATTTATTTAAGCGTCCTTAGCAGGACTGTACAGAAATGACCCCTTCAGGCAGCGCAGTTATTAACAAATGTAAAGAAGCAGTAAGCGAGTGTTGGAACATGGTTTCAGTCTGTTTTTTTCCTTTTATGGTAAAGCTGCCAACTTGCTGCTTCATTGTGATAAACAATCTGATTTTGTTTGTGATTAAGCAGAGCTAGCTGGTCTATCAAGAACAGAGGGGCATCTGATCCTTACAAGCAGTCTGGAGGTGTTTGGTGAAAAAGCTAAGCAGATACAAGGGGAAAAAAAAAAGGTCAACTGCATGTTAAGGAAAGCTGCTGGGGTTTAGAACGTAAATGTAGATCTCTATGCTATTGAAAAGTGAGGAGAAACATAAAAATATCCAAAACATCTTATATGGTAACACAGGGGTGGCTATGACAGTCTTCTAAGTCGTGTCAAATTTTTAAAAAGACGTTAATCAAAAAGATGTTGGAATCTAGAAGATAAATTTTGTTACTTTTTAAGCCCCAGGAATTATGTTAAAGGAGTTTTATTCACCCAAGTCATTCTCTTCTGATAGATCAACCCACATAAAGTTGCATATTCCCAAAATAGTGCACAGTATTTTCTATGTAGAATAAAACATTCCAGAACAGAAACAAGAATAATTGAATGGGACACCCCTTGAAAGTAAATGAGGCCAGTATCTGCAGCTCAAGTCATAACAGAACAGGATTAAATCTCCCGGTATGTTTCATCCTTGGCACTGCAATTTGTTAAAACTGCTGAAGGAAATAGAGTCACATTTGGAATTCTCCCTTCATGAGAGTGCACAGGACAATTTGTAAGCAGGTTTCACAGTACAGCCTGCACAGTTTAGGTTGCAGGGCTAAAAGCTTCGAGACTTCATATGGTCGCCAAGCGCAAGGGAAGTTAGAAGAGGGTAAGTCCAGCAACCAAAAGAGAAGCTTGAGAGAATACCATGAGGATGCTCACCTGCAGAGAACAGGCAGATTGCACTGGTTCAGTCCCAGCAGCCTTTCACACTACAAGAGAAAGCTGAAAGCAAATAAATAATTTTTATTCTCCGTCCAAGAACACCCAACAGCCCTGAAGCAGCTTTTGTCAGTCAGTCTCAAAGAGCTTTCACCAGAAGGCATCCTTGGAGAGCCAGCAACCACCTAACAGTCCCTGCTTTCAGTTTGACTCCTTCTAGGACCAGACTCATCATTCCTTCCATTCCCTTCTTATTCCTGTTTCTGCAGGATTTGTTCACTGTACCGGCATGAAGAGCTGGGCTGATCAAGTCCAAAGAAACTCAGTAACTCTGGCTTGGTTTGCACAGCCTGTTCTCTGTCCCAGGGGCAGGGGGTGCACCTTCTGACCTTCCTAATCCTTCTTCTTCTCTTACATTTCAGCAAAGCTGCCCATACACGTGCACTCATGTGAACCCCTGTGGTGGCCCAGTTTATGATATACCTTCAGGAGGGGCTTTTTGCTTTCTGGGGAGCAAAAGAAGGGCAGTAACGGGCAGCAAAGAGTAGTGAGAAAACACTTGGCTTGGAAGACACCAACTTTTTCTGATGTTCCCTGAGCTCAGAAATTCCACTGGCAACTCTGTATCAAGGAGTCACTTTTATTTTCTTTATGGTATTTATGGGTTTGTGATGCAATATCAATATATGCCCGTGGTTTCTATTTACACAGCAGTGTATTTTGAGCAGGAGTTCTACTGTGTTATCACGCTTTTTTTTTTATTTAAAAGAAAGCCAAGCTCGTATCCTGCAGTGAAAAATAAACATGGCTACAGCTCCTCTACTCCCAGATTTTTATGTGGAAGAGTCCTGCTGTGCTGATTGCAGACAAATATCTCCAATAGAAACATAATGAGTCATTTTGCACCAATTTACTGAATAAAGCAGTTCAGTAGCACCATTTGCCATGTAAGTGGTCAATAAAGCAGTTAATGCTATAGCTGTCACGGAACTGGGAGTAAAACAATTGCTCAATATCAATCCCAGCCATAGCAGAATCCTCCACTGCTTTTCCTAGACTGGCTGTGGCCCACACAGCAATTACAACTTGCAAGTTTAACGGGTCGAATTTATCTCCATTGTCTTTACACAGTACAGAAAGCTGCTTTATCTCATGATGTTTATTACACACAGGGCCAGTGACAGGGGCAAGCAGTCAGATAGGTAGCCATGCAAGTCACCCCACACACTGAATAAAAGAAGGAGTTCAAGTCTTGACCTCTGACCAGAGGCTCCATGGGCCAATGCTAGCTCTGTATCTGATAAATGACGAACCATATAGAAGCACTTGCTCCTGCCCTAATGGTCTGCCTCTGGTCTCACATTTGTAAACTATGCCCACTTTTCAAAAATGCATTTGAGCTGCCTGGGAATTTATGTTCCTAAGTCAGAGATTTTTCTACAGTCTGTACAAGGTAGTCTGTGACAGTCTCACTCAAAGAATGGCCAACTTCAATGCCAGGACAGGTTGCTCAAGAGTTGTTCAAGTCTACTTCCAAACAGCTCCAAGCGTGGAGATACCACATCTCTCTGGGCAACCTGTCCCAGTGTTTGACCATTCCCATCGTGAAAAAAATATCAAAAGAATCATAGAATTCTTTGAGTTGGAAGGGACCTTAAGGATCATCTTGTTCTACTTCAGAACTGTCACAGCAAACTCATTGGTCATGCATCTTTAGATAGATGGGAAATTGTAAAGCCGCATTACCACAGGCTTTTCTGGAAGTCTTGCTTCAATGTAGCTTTACAAAATAGTTTAGCATTGTTGAGCTCATTATGAAACCTGAGTGGGTGTTTATTGTCCATCACAGCCTAGAGTTCTTAGCCTGAGATCAGCATTTCGGTAGAAAATTCTGTGTAAGGGTTCTGAAGGTAAAGAGAAACTGACTCCAAAAGCATAAGCACTCTGACTCCAAAAGCACTGTGAGAGCGGGTTATGGATGTAAAACTAAACCTTACTGCAGCACTGAAGCTCACTGGACTCTGCTATGCAGAAACCTCTCACATGCCTCACACAGATTTTGGCCCATCTTTTTATAAATGTTGATCTAAAATGTGTTTGATGGTCCTGTTCACAGTTAAAAGCATGAAGAATACTTAGGTACTTGTTGACATGTTGTTGAAAAGTATGTGAACTATCTTGTTTTATCTTGTTCTTTGAAGAGCATCTCAAAGAAATTAATGTCCTCTTGATAAAAGTTATCTCTCTGTCTGAAATGGAACAGAGTACATTATTTAGGTGTTTGAACTGCTCTGCTTTCAAAATTCAAAGCTTTGCATGATCAGCTTCAAACATTTTAAGTTTTGATGCTTTATCTGTCCAGACTTTGTCTCAAGTGGGCTGCTGGCCATACTTCAGAAGCGTAATAAAAACCTAAGAGTTTCAGGTTGGAAATTTTCAGTTATAATCTTCTTATAGAGAGCCTGATCTTTCTGCTGTCCTCATTACAGTTCATCTCCAATGGAATTTACAAAAACTAGTTTTGAACTCCTAACCTTTTATTCATTTTTGGTACAAAAGATTTCCATTAGAAATGGTTATTTAAATGCAAGGGCAAATTATATAAAGTATGAACCCAGTACTTTTGACTAACCATGGGTGGCCAGATTTTGGAAGCTGTAGGCTATTCAATGTAAATCCTTATAAATACAAGTGCTTCTGTCAGGACAACTATTTTCCCTAATTAATGGATTTAATTATTTTTATTCACAGATCGAGAAGACCAGTCTATCCTATGCACGTAAGTAAACTATTTTAGTATATCTCAACATTACAGCGTCTGTCTTTATTCAAAATTGATTCAAATTGTGATGGAGCAGACATAGTCTCCTCACCTTCAGTAAGCTTGAACTCCAATCCTAAATCTGCTCCAGCAGATATAACTGTTGATAAAATAAAAAGCAGATATCGGTGTCATAGGAAGTCTTTCAGGCACAAAGTTATTTATTTAAATTGACTTTCTGAATTTAGAGATTTAAGAGTTTAGAATCAATAGCTGGAAAGTGTGGTTGTAAAACTGTGTGTAGAGAGAACAAGTTATTTTAAGAGGTTCCTAGAGGAAGCTGAGGAACTGAGAAAACTGAGGAACACAGAGCATCCCAGATAGTTACCGTATTGTTTTTCATTTTTAGCTGTTGGTGGCCCACCACAACTTCTTAATTCAGGTGTCATTGCCAAAAAGTGTGATCGTTCTTGTTCATGCTGTTGTTTTGTGCTGTTTGCATAAACTATAGCTAGAAGGGGAAAGGCTTGGTACCTCCCTGCTGGCAGGGGCCACCCCTGAGCCATGCACAGGGCAGGGCTGTGCTGGCTAGGAGGGCTCAGCAGCATGGCTCAGGCTGGACATTTCTGCAGTCTGTATGTTATTGGTTTAGGCAACAGTGAAATACCAGCTAAGCCAGCCCTGGTTTGAGCTCTGATTTTTCCACGTCTGGGCTTGCTGAAGGCCTACTCTTTGAGTTTTGACCTGCCAGTGCTTAGAAAGAGCCAGCGTGGGGGTCAGTATCATGTGTCAGGCAGTGATTTTATTGCAATAAGCTTTACTTTGTACAACTTACTACTCCTCAAAATCCCACTGGTTTATCATCCCTACCTATTTTGCAAAAGACTCAGACTGTTGAACTGGGCAGGTATCTCCTATTTGACCTTCACTTTTGACCATTTCTCCATTGCTCTGTTGCTATTTAGTTGGTTTTATTTACTTGAATGACATCAAGGATGCCTTTGACACTATTTTGTGTTTGTTGTATTAGGCATCTTTCAGTTTTCCTGATCAGAGGTAGGATTTGAATCTGTATAAATACTAATTATTGTTTGCAGAACATGGCATGTGTATTATGTATAGCAGGTTCGTGCAGTGATGCTGTAGTCTGTCAAGTATTGTAATCATACATAGACCCAGACTGAACTGGTTTTAGGTGAAAATGTGGCTACTGACTGACTAAATATATATTTACACTACAGTTTTTAAAAAGCAATGCTACTGATCACCGGCCATACAGTTACTTGGGAGTGCTAGTGCTGACTGGAAAAAATTGTCACCTAAGGAAAAGTAAAAAATTCCATACTGTATCTGGTACCACAAGGGCAAGCATAGCTCTAACCTCTGTGCAATATGTAACTATAGCAATCACAGATCTGTCCAAAAATGCGTTAATACTAAAACAAAATATAAAATTGCTGCAATGATGAAATAAAAATTGACCATCATGTTCTTCCCAGGATAAAACATGCCATCGTAATGTAGACTAATTTACAATATGCATTTCCTCCTTCTATTTTTGTACTTTAGTTTATTTTTCCACTGGTAAATATTCAGATCTTTTTTTTTAACTTTCTTCTTTTTACAACTTTTCTTTAAATATTAGGATTTTTAAGAGGGGGATTTTCTTTTGCAAATCTATGCCTTTTGTTCATGAAAATCCATTAAAAGATCCACTTCTGACAGCTGCCTTATACTGAAAATACCTTTTTTTTTTTTACCTGGCCAGCTAAGCTGGAATCCTAAGTTGTTCCACACCAGTAATACATGAAATAGAACAAAATGTCTTTCCCATTTTGAAAACAGCCACAGTGATTCATTGAGATGTTTAGAATAACTGCTGTATGTTGGATGGACATCGTGAGCCATAGCTTAAAACAGTCCTCACACGTCTTTCAAACGAAAAAGATTAGTCAAGCTAAAACCAATGTACACAACTTACACCACTACTGGTTTATCATCCTTGTTGGCCTTATTTGGCTGTGCAGAAAGCAGAAAGTTCACTTGGCTTTCAGCTGGGCAGCTGTCAAGTGGAAGCAATTTGCGTTATTTTATATAATTGTTAAAAAGTCCAATGAATTGTCTTTTTGCCTAAAATGTGTAACAATAACTGAGGACTTCGTGGCATTGATCAGCTGGGATATTCTCTTTAAATAGCTACAGACTCAAAGTTTGCAAGGCCTGGTACCTAAACTGTAACAAATGTAGCTGTAAGGATTCATATATAAGTAGCTGTGAATGCTGCCAAAGCCTCACTTACGTTTAGTGATGCTGCAGTGTGGACTCTTGCGTTCTTTCACGTATTGCTACCCATCTCCCACAAATAACTTTTTAACCTTATGGGAATTCAGCAGGGCTATGAAATAATACTGGTATAAAAATGCAAGCAGGGATTGTGCACTTCATTTTTAAGTACTTTGTGCTGTGTGCTTTGCACTACTTCTTCAAGGTTATTCCATTGTTAAAGGAGCTCGTCTGGAAACCAAAGGCCTGGTGGGATGATGAGTGCCTGGGACTTACCTGAAATGCTGCTGGGGCACAGGCAGGGGCATAAATCTAAGAACTAGGCATGGTTCCATATTTCCGAGTACAAATATACCCATTCTCAGATCTTCACCCTCAGCTCATTGAACCTACCCTCATGTGGTTAAGTATTGTTTGCATTCTTTTTCAGTGCTTACCCTCTATGTGATTAACTGTGGTATGTTTAAAATGCTTCATCTGTCTTTAATGCTCATGGGTTCTAATGCTTCCTCAGAATTCCCTGTCTTTCCCAGATCTCATTACTTCATCTACATTTTAATAATAACTACACACATACTGCCTTTGATCTGCTCTCTGTGCACACATCCTTTCTGCTGTTAGCTCATTTTCATGGGAAGCATCACTGAACATCCTCTCATCTCATTCCCTGCCAATTGCTCTCTGCCACTTCACAGTCAGCGTTAAAACCCACATCCTGTCATGCACATTTTCAAGCTGCCTCTCTGGAATACGAGAAACCTTATACCATGGCTGTGCTTACTAACCAGTGTATCTGTGGTTGCATTATTACAGCATAACATGACACGACATAACATATTTAATACACAATATATAACACTACACTGAGGGCATGAAATCTTATTATTTTATATGTCTGACAACTAAGGCAGTTAAGACTTTTCCATCCTCGTACTGCTCTGGGCAGCTTTCACTGCTTTGCCTGGCTATTGGGATTCCCTGAAACTCCTGCCTGTGCTTAGGCCTCCCCCAGTGCAGTCTCTCTTGTTTGACCATGGTCAATGTGCTGTGTTGACCAGCACATTAGATGTTGCTGAAGGAAAAATCCCAAGAAATCCATCCAGTTGCTCAGAGAAATGAGCAACCTCAGTGCATCAGCCATTAAGCATGAATTGGACTAAGCAATGGCCAGTAAACAAGCTTGTGACTTTTCAGGTTTCTACCAATGTAAGTAGAGGCACCAGTCCTTAAAAGAGACTTCTGGCCTTTGAGCTGTGATTTCTAAAGATGTAAGTGGATCCTCCTGGAGTTTCTAAAAGCTTTTTTTACTAGAAATTCCACTGGTGCCAATTTGCATAGCTAAGCATGTCAGTGTTTTAATGATCTCCTCCTTAAACCTGTCTGATCTCCAGGTTATCAGATTTTAGCCACTTCCTGAAAGCAGTGGGTATAATATTTTCGAGAAAGCAGATGTGGCTAAAGGACTGTGCACGAGTTTCAGTTACGCAAAAAACCACCTTTAATGAGAAAGAAATCTGATCATAATTCTGAGTGTTTGGCATAATGTGAAGACTGTAGAAACAAATGCTTGTTAAACACCTGATTTGTACTGATAATCAAATACTTTTTCATTACCTTTTGCTTTTTTTTTTAATACATGCATGTAGTTTGAATAGCTTCTATGAAAACATATGGTAGCAGGGTGCTGTTTCCACTTAATTTAATACAGACAAAATGTTGGGTGAGGCAGTGACCATGCTGCCCTTTTCCCCTTCCTCCCTTCTCTCTTTCTTGGCAAACTCTGCAGAGCTTCACTCAGCCGTGGGACTTCAGCCCACTGTCTCCCCTGACACATGTCAGGAAGCAGAGACATCCAGATCATCCTCCAATCTTCAGAGCCCCATTAGTCAAAAGACTCCTCCACACAAGAGCTAAACTCTTTTCTTTCCCAGCTCACTAAATCTCAAAGGCTGGAGCTGTCAAGCCTTTCTGCCTGGCCTTTCTCCCATGCAGATATCTTGTGTAGCTTTAGACCCAGGGTGGAGCTTGGTGCTGAACCAGCTTGGTCTCTTTTGGGAATTATAAGTAAACTAGTCGGGTCAGTAGACTGGCTTCTGAGACAGGTCTCTAGTGGGGTACAGCTGGCCTAGGATGAAGATGTTCATTATCATCTTTGCACATCTCATACTGCAGGATGAAACCTGCCAAGCCCTGATGTGATTTAGAGCACCTCATTGAGTGCCCTGTGCACTGAGGCTTCTTGCAGAGCCAGCATAGCCAGATTAGGAGATGTGTGAATGGGCAATTTTTGTGGTTCATTGCTTAGTGAAACAAATGGTGAAAATAAATTCTTCTGCTATCTTTAAGATGCTTCCAAAAGTGGAATTAAGCTAAGTCTTATATTATAATAATAATAGAGAAAGCCTTCAAATTTTGGAAAAAAAACCAAAACTATAAAACTAAATATTTTTTAAATTGATTTTTCCCAGTTATACCCAAAGGTACAAGAGTCATAGCTACACCACAGGCTCATCCTACAACAGTGGGGCCACCTTGCTAGACTCACCTTGTCATGATTTGGAAACCTCTTCTTACTGGGATAATTTTCATTTAAGGTGAAGATAACCACAGAATCATAGAATCAGCTAGGTCAGAAAAGACCTTTAAGATGATCAAGTCCAACCTTCACCCCAGGACTGCCAAGTCATGGAGGATTTAGTAGTTTATGTGGTACAAAAACTCTGTTATAACTGAGCACTATGTATGTGAGCTTATGTGCTTTAAATCCTGTACCGAGTTCCTAAAACAATGCCTGGCAAGAAATGGGTGAAGAATAAATTTAAACTATGCCACACAGTGTGAGGGTGGTGGTTTTGACAGAGCAAGCCTGTAAGCCTAATGGATGCTTTTGCTCTGGGAAAGCCAAGGAGTTTCTTAGGACAAAAACATATATGTAAAGTACTGTTGCTGGGCGATGAGAACTGTGCAATGGGACCTGCTTTTGATCTGGGGTTTTTTGTGTTGCCTGTCTGAGCTGGGTGCAAAGAACAGCACTGGTAGTAAATGTGCTGTCTCTATGTATGGCAGGCCACAAGAATGATTTGAGATGCTTCAGTAAAACAAATGAATGATCACAACCACTCCCAAAAGGTTGTGATTAGTACAGTGGTACAGCATTCATATGGTGAATACCCACTCTGGAACATAATTTAGGGGCAAATACCAATGAAAATGGGCACTCAGAAGAGAGGAGCAGATTTCTCCTTGGACTAAACACATTGTGTATGATCCATGCCAAAACCACTGACAGATGCTTGCAAGGCAAACACCCATCTTTAAAAATTTAGTCACTGAGCTTGAGAGAGCATGTAGATTTTTAAAAGCATGGGATTCCTAATACCAGCTCACAGTCTGATCCTGTCCATTCTCCATTTCATGTGGAAGCATTTCCATTTCACACTGAAGAACTTTTTGTTATCCACTTCAAAAGGAAATAAAAGCCTCAAAGTCTATCTGCTGAAAATAGGAAAACCTTCAGCCTGTGCAGGAGCAAAGAGTTAAGGATGAAAGGACAGAACAAAATGTTAAGTAACTTGAGCATTACAGTATGGTAGGATAATTACAAGTAAAATGATGCCATATATGGTAATACTCGCAGGGATTCAGGAGAAAGCCAAATGATGGGCACTGTTGCCCTAGGAGAAAGGAAATGCAATTCATGTAGTGATGAACTACAAATAACCTTTAATAAAATGGAATAGTTCAAAGCCTGGGGTTTGTTTGAAGAAAGTTGTTGGGTTTGGTTTTTTTTTCTTTTTTTTCCAAAGAAACAAAGTTGTAAGGTAGATTTATTTGAAAACTTTTTATGCATATGTTTTCAAATTGGTGTGCTTGGCTTGGAATTGTTCCCAGGACACTTAATTTTTATCAGTAAAACATGGAAATGTTTTAGCATTGAAGCCCAGGCAAAAATGAATCCAACCTCTAAACTGTGCAAATTGACCCAGGTCTTGTGAAAAGGAACATATTCATCTCAATTATTTCTGGATAAAACTCTAAAAGCCAGAAGAAACACTTCTCATTGTGTCATACCTTAGGAAGGAATTGTTTCTGGTTTCCTAAGGTTTACATCAATGTCATTCCACCTTGGAAGTTCTGCCCAGCACTTACCCATATTTTTTATGTCTATTTATCACTGGTCCCTTGGTAGGGAAAATTAACTCCTGTATTTCCTAATTAGGAAAAGAAGCAGAACTGCAATGGGTCCAGCTAAATAGTTTCAACTTCAAAAGAGTTGACAAATATCTATGGGATCTTTGAATGTATTATTCTTTTTATTTTTAAATCCATTTAAAATCCAAAGAAAAAGAGGTCCAACTTACATTTAGACTGTTGCCCTCTTCACAGCAATGATGAAATGTGAGAGGGAAAAGTAGACTGGAAATGTTCTTCCGAGAAAAGACTCTGTAAATCTGGCCCTTGTAGCTTGAAAATCACTATTTTACTTTAAGAGAGGGCTTAAGAGTTGTAAATAAACCCTGGAAGTCCACTGGGAGGTGAAAAGTTACCACTGCCTTCCTGCTTCCCAAGGGACACTGCAGAAAACATAGTCGGGTTGTCAGTTGCTGCTCAGACATCTCCACACATGAGATGTCCTTTACTACCTGGTTATCAGGGACACCTCAGGCAGTCCCGGCTCTGGTCACACTTAATTCAAGGAGCGTTTGAACAAGTAGCTCAGATGAGGCAGGTTCATTTGCTTATTCTCTACCACCAGTACAAGCTGTTAGTCTACTTTAATGCTGGAGTTTCCAAAGAGAAAACTGTTGTATTACTGCTGATGCTTTTTCTTACTGCTGTACCACATCATAGTCAATGTTGTATTTTTTTGGTCTTAAAATACAAGCAGACTCCCTGCCAGCTCCACTTCTCATAAATGTTTGGATCCTGCCAAAGCAAGATGAACTGTCGTTCAAAAATGCATCGTGTTTTAGAATTGCCTTAAATGGCCCAATGTCCACTCAAAATACTGATGGGGCAGAGATATAGCTTTGATAATGCGTTCTTTGCATGCTGAAGTCGGGTGGATTTGGGGAGATGGTGTTCTGGGGTAAATACTGAGCTGGGCAGTTTCCAGTCCTGTTTTTATACACTAAGTACACCACATGGCAGAAGGAATCCACTAGTTACCTACCTTCTTTTGTGTTATTTTCTGTCCCCTTAGAGGTGAATCTGGTGCTGGCAAGACAGAAAATACCAAAAAGGTTATTCAGTACCTGGCTGTTGTTGCTTCATCACATAAGGGCAAAAAGGACACCACCATCACTGTAAGTGAGCTCTTCCATATTCAACTGTTCTTGATGCCTGTTAGGACTGTACCAAGCTAGCTGACTGTACTAACAGCAAGTCAACGACTGTGGCTTGCCAAACAGTCAACATATTAAGAGTCCATAGTTACGTCACAGCTCTGTGTTTACGGAAAAACTTTTGTTTGACACCCCCTTAGGCATCAAATCAGAATGTACTTCCCTAGAAGAGAAATATTCATAGCTTTCCATATGCATAGCACCTATTTATAGCCTAGGATGAAGGCCTTGAAGTCTGCAAGGGCTCAGGTCCTTATTTTACCCTTGGTCCCTAGCAACTAAGAAGTTTGGGAAAGCCTTTAACTAACACATTATCCAACTGCACCACGAAAATGTCTCCCAGCATTTAAACTTCCAGAGCTTTGACTGGCTTTGTTAGTGAGTTTTCTTCCTACCAAAGAGTCTTCCTATAAAACTTGACTTTTTACTCCTCTGTCAGAGAGAATAATTTTGAGAGATACACTTTTTAAAAAAGTATTTTCTACCTTCAATATTTGTAACAGTTTTGCCTTAGTGACTAAAGCTGATTTTCATGCTCAAACACATAATACGAGTTTATACCTGCCCAGTTCCCGGAGAACTCAGTGTGGCTGAGGCTTCAACTGTCTTTGCTGTTTTCAATGACACAACTCCAGGTGCTATGTCATTTCCAGCCTTTTGAATGTTACTCAAACTTCTGCAAAAAACATGTAGCAATTCACTTTTATGACCAAACAGGCTTAATTCAGTGTGTTGCAGATGAAAGACTGGGTCCAAACTAAGTGAATAGCAGGGTAGTGGGGGGTGAACTAAAAATCTCCTGAGCACACCTCTGCTGGGCCTTGCAGCTGCCCTTGCATACCCTGTACACTAGCAGAAGACTCCAGAGCCCAGGGTGTGCAGCCTGGCCTCTTTCACCATAAATAATCGTTGTTTATATACAGCAGATTCTGCCTGGGGGCAGAGGAGGGAGCAGATGTCCCTCTGGGTACTATTTTCTAGAAATTAGTGATTAAATTTAGTGGAAACAGTCCAAGGCCAAAGGCATCATTTTCCTTTGTTGAATGTTTATGCAAAAAAATGATTTCTTTCTAATGGCTCCCTGCTCAGTGGCTGGGGAAAATAAACTTGTGGTTTCAAGGCCATCCCTAGCAGTCACATAACTACAGTTGCTGCTGGCTCCTCTCAGGAATTAATGCAAGTCTCAGGATCAAGTTGGCCCTGAGAGGGACCTTCAGGGAAATACCCACCAGATAGGAGCTGAGAGAAAGTCTAAGCTGTTCTATAACATGCTGACAAACAATAATTCAGGGACTGTGACTACTGATACTGCAATTTCAGACATCAAAAAATAATAGATATCAAAGTGCCTCAGTTGCACTAGAGAAGAACTGGAGATTTACTGTTATAATATCTGTCCTTGTCTGGTCCTGGGAGACTAACCCGGGACTGGAACCAAATCCCATCCCTTTGCTTCAGGGTTGTTCTTTTCTTCTTCTGTTAAAATGTTTTATATATGTTAATCGTATTTGTACTCTTGCTATGTCTGCAATCAATTGTTTGTATTTGTATTCCTGGTTTATTTGCATGGAAACTGTGTATTGGTTATTTTAATACAGGAAAAACAATAAATATATCTGTGTAATGGAAATGATACTGACACATTTTATACCATGTCATTCAATACAGCAAGGTCCATCTTTTTCTTACGTGAGTAACTTAGACTGTTTGATGTGTGTTTAAGGCACTGAGTGTAGATCTGCATGCTATTGTTGCACCCTGAAAATTTAAGAGAGATTATGTTGAAATACATTGTATGATATGATAAAAAGCAACAATAGCACCAAATGCTCTCTCTCACAAATCAACCCTAACTGTGTCAGGCTCCATGGTAAAGAATGAGGTCTGACACAGGCAGGGCCATCTCTCAAGTATCACCCTCTTCTGTATCTGTGTGTTCAAATTGCCATAGTTTGACTGAAATTTCCCACGATCCTGAAAGAGCCACTCAGCCTGACATGAGCAATGTGATTTCTCAATGGAAATATCCAAATGCTTTCTGTGCTTCAGGTTGAACTTTTTAGGACTGTTGTGAAATAATTCCTAAACCTCACAGTGTTTGATGGGTTTGTTTGCCTGCATGCTTTCCATTTGATATTGCTGTCAATTTTACTTTTTCCTGTAACTGTTGAGAATTGTTCACATCCACAAAAGTTAGCATGTTCTGGCTGCTATGACGTGTAACAAAGCAATTCCCACTGCAGCGTGTGTCTGCAGGTGTATTACAGCAGTTTCTCAGAGGCCCTGGTGGGCCCTCCTGCATTGTGGTGTGCCATATCAGCATACCGATTTGCCAGTTTGCTACCATAGTCTTTATAGTTCCGTTCCAGGCAAATGGGATCTTTATTTTTTATTAATGGGGTCTGCATACAATTCTGTTAATTTGGAGTCACAGTTTCATACTACAGGTTTATGGCATAGTTTAGTTCTCCCTAGAACAAGGTGCTATCTGTCTCAGTTTAGCAGACAAGGCTCTGTTCTTGCTGTCACCATCTGATTGTAGCAACACCCCATGCTTATAGTGGACTTTTGAAGTCTACAGCATGTAAGTGGAAATAGTTGCTCAGTCCAGAGAAATTTCAGGGACTTTTAGGAATTCATTATTTATTCTTGGAGCTGTGTATTAGCTTGTTTGGAAATCTTTCTGCCCTCTTCCTCCAACTCTTAGGTAGTAGATCTGTGTTCTCAGGAAGATGCTCATTCTCCTGTCTCATGACCATTTAGATAAGTTTAGCCACTTGTTAACTATCATCTGCTGTTGCTTTTGAATGATACTTTTGAGGCAGCTGTCATCATTGCCATATAGGTTACAAGACATTCAGCAATGGCATTTAGAAAAAGGTTACCAGTTTTGCACACTAATTATGAAGCACTTTCATCTCCTGAATTATTTCCCCTAGATTCAACTTAAATATTGACTTATTTTCTAATTAATTTTTTAAATTATATTATTTATCAAGGATTTTTTCCTTTTTAGGGTGAGTTATTTAAAACAATGCATGTTACTGCAGATTAGTACTCAAAGAATAAGGTGATGAGAAGCAAATGTGAAAGTGAGTGACCTCATAGGACAGAACCAAATAAAGGGTTCAGAAAAGCTGTAATCAAAGCAAAGGATTTTTTCAACTTCATTGATTTGTTTAGAAATAGGACTATTAAATGCATGCTTGTTTCATTGCATGATTTGCTTCATTAGCAATTACCAATCACAATTAACAATATAATACAAAATTTGTGTGTTTGCATGAGAATTCATTATCCTGGTTTGAAATAAATCAATGCACTTCCATATTTAACCTAAATAGCCTTGCATGGATCATTATTAATAGACTTGATGAAATCTGCTTTGTAGCTTTGTGCTGCATTACATTAAAATGATTCTCAGCAAGTTATTCTAATTACATCATCATTTGCTAGCAAAGGATCTCAATAAACTAACTCAAAAGAGACATGCTAGGGGTTCCTTTAAGAATATCCCTTTTAAAAAAGATATTAAACTGGAAAAAATATATTTCACATTCAATGACCCTTTTCTTTTTAAGAAAGGCCAGTCATGATGCTAAACAGATTAATAGACTTTGATCTGTCACAGGCAGCAGGGCTGGAAAAGGGTCATGTATACAGGACAGCAGTCAACTGCACAAATACATAAACACAAAGAATAACAGAGAATGAAAACAAAGCCACATGAAGTGCAGTACTCAACAGACAAAAAAAAACCAAAAAGAGGTTTAAATTCTTTTTCACATTTTCCTCCAGTGTACATGTGTTGGTTTTAATTAAGCAAATATGAAGTTCAGGGTTAACTGCTTCTGAATGAATTTTAGGGTGAGCTGGAAAAACAGCTTCTACAGGCAAACCCTATTCTTGAAGCTTTTGGAAACGCCAAAACAGTGAAGAATGACAACTCCTCCAGATTTGTAAGTAGGAGAAATCCAGTTGGTCTATGGGGGGAGAGGGGGGTAACATCTCTTAAAACACAGCATGAAGACAGTGGTCCTCGTCACTGCTTCTCTTTTAAAGAGCATCTTTAATACCTTAAAAAAAATTTAGAATTCCTCTCTGAAACACAAATCTGGCGTTATGGAAGATTTAAAGATCAAGCTCAAACATAACAGTACCACTGTCCTCTCACAATTCAACAGTCTGTGTGTGGCCTTCCAGAGCCAATTCCTGCTCAAGGACATAGCAACATTCAGAATATTTGCAAACAAAATCTGTGCTTTCTTTCTCTTTGCACCACAGTTGAGCATGTATCTTATGAGGTGTGACTGTAACTTGGCAAGAGCAGTTAATATATTAAATTAAAAATTACAGGAGAAATTAAAAACAGCCATACAGGTACAAGTTTGATGTGAGCTGAGGGCTGCCACTATTGGATGACACTTTTTTGTGGGAGTGCTGGCAGGTGCTTGTTTTCTCTGCAGACCCCCTCTCCCACCTCTGTTCTCTCCCTGCAAAGCTGAGGGATCCATGCAGATGAAACTTAGCAATGGGAGTTATGCAGATCCAATGGTATTTCCTTGTGGAAATCAAAGTGGAAAATAGATGTGGTCACATCCCCAGCTTCCAAAGCCTGGCCCAGCAGGGAGGACTCTTATCCCTCTAAGTACCTGAATGGAATGTGGGGGCAAATCTCTAGCAGGAATATCAGAGAAATTAACTTCCTTTCAGGCTTTTCCATGGGTTGTCCCTGCAGGAGGGAATCAAGCATGTTATTCTTAAGAAGATGATGTACATGTCTTATTAAACAGGCTAAATACTAATACTGGAAGACCTGGCATAACCTGAAAGAACAGCCCAATCTAAATCTTCTTTTCATTCACAGGGCAAATTCATCCGCATCAACTTTGATGTGACAGGCTACATTGTCGGAGCAAACATAGAGACTTGTATCCTTTTCAGTGAGCTGCAT